CTAAGAGAGTGACCTTGGACAAAGCAGATAGTTCCCAGTTTAGAGGACAGAGAGATACCAGGGGCAAGGTATTGTGCAAAGATGCCAGTGACAGAGATGGTTACGACAATAATCCTTCCAGTAATGTGTGCATAACCAGTTCTTGTCCAGTTAAAGTGCCACGAGCAAGAGTTTACAGGGGAAGGTACCACAGGACTCGACAAAGAAGTGATACGGATAGTGATTGGCGAAACTATCATTATTCTCCGAACATGAAACACTAGCTTGAGTGCAGAGCCTGGGTTACTTATTTCCTGCAAGGACATTTAGCCTAAGTATAATTTTGTAATACTTAGTAGAGATCACGATACTTAGTTAAGGTAGTAACTTAAGGAAAGCTACTTTTGTAATGGATGTTATCAGATACATAGTTAGTAAGTTACTTGTGTTAAGGTTTGCGATAAACCAGATTTAGACAACTTTAATTGTACATTACCTAAGCAGCTAGTTAACCCTGGGGTTTATACACATTTTGTAAGTTTGTGTTATAGCTAGTTAGGAAAAATTTGTTATCTTTTGTGTACTTAGGCTTGGTGTTGTTAACACCAAAATTATTGGATGGGAGGAGTGTAACAAATTTTCAACTTTTCAAAATTTCATTTCTGGAGTCCAGTACCGTTTTCTAGTAGTTCAGACAGTTTAGACAGTAGGAAAGTGTTTCCCAGTCACAGTTGACAGCTTATATACTTACATGTATGTATAGAACAATTTAGGTGTACTGGGAATCGTGTAAACTACTTTTTTCTGGGAGATTTATTTTGTTTTCGTTTGTGTACATTTTCTCACCTCCTATTAGAGAGCTCTTTTGACCTACATTCAATTACTCGTTTTTCCTTGCAATTTCGCCATATTGAGAGCCAATGATGATTGGTTTTTGTTATAATTATTTAGTTTATATCTTAATCTAGCTAGTTAATTACAAGATATGTGTTCGTTTTGTGTTAAACAACGGAGATCGTGACTGCTAGGTGAAGCCAATTATTTGGCAAAAGTTATGTCATCATTGCATCATAGTTATTTATTCTGCACTAGTGTTGTCCTGCCTGGGATTCTAGTGACTGGCCAGGTATTGCATCAGCCCATTAATCACTTGATAGGTTCGTGTGCAAAACCTAGTACATGTTACATACATGTCTGGGGTATAAATAGAGACGACCAGGTGACTCAGCAGGCACTTTCTAGCTGGAACTGAGAGAGGAGAGACCCGCGTGCCTCCAGGGATTGGCGCCTGATGGACTTAGGCTAATTCTTCGAATATATCTGATGGACTTAGAAGATTTTCATCGCATATATTGAGGGACTTAAGGATTTTATCCTGATATACTTAGAGGATCTTAGGCAGATTCGACATACCCGTTGAGGGACTTAGAGGATTTTATCCTGATATACTTAGAGGATCTTAGGCAGATTCGACATACCCATTGAGGGACTTTGAGGATTTTACCTAGAGGTACTTCGAGGATCTTGGGCAGATTCAACACACCTGTAGATGGACTTAGCAGATTTTTTTTAGGTTGATGCACTTAGAGGATATTACCTTGAGGGACTTAGCCAATATTCACCATAGTTGCCATAGTTGATGCCCAGAGAAACATAAGGAATATTCACGCATATATTGAGGGACTTAGAATAGTCGCTAGTTTGATGAACTTTATATTTTGGTTGATGGACTTTAATATTACCAGCTTGAGGGACTTAGAATATTCATAGCTGGCTAGAGGAACTTAGATTTTCTACATCTACAACTTGATGAAGTTAGAATATTACCAGCTTGAGGGACTTAGAATATTCATCGCTGACTAGAGGAACTTTGTAGATTTCACACATCTATAACTTGATGGACTTAGAATATTCGTCAACTTGGTGGACTTAGAATATTCATAGCTGGCTAGAGGAACTTAGTAGATTTCCTACATCTACAACTTGATGAAGTTAGAATATTACCAGCTTGAGGGACTTAGAATATTCATCGCTGGCTAGAGAGCCTTTGTAGATTTCACACATCCATAACTTGATGGACTTAGAATATTACCAGCTTGAGGGACTTAGAATATTCATCGCTGGTTAGAGGATTTTTGTAGATTTCACACATCTATAACTTGATGGACTTTGAATATTACCAGCTTGAGGGACTTAGAATATTCATCGCTGGTTAGAGGATTTTTGTAGATTTCACACATCTATAACTTGATGGACTTAGAATATTCATCAGCTTGAGGGACTTAGAATATTCATCGCTGATTAGAGGAACTTAGTAGATTTCCTACATCTACAACTTGATGAAGTTAGAATATTACCAGCTTGAGGGACTTAGAATATTCATCGCTGGCTAGAGAGCCTTTGTAGATTTCACACATCCATAACTTGATGGACTTAGAATATTACCAGCTTGAGGGACTTAGAATATTCATCGCTGGTTAGAGGATTTTTGTAGATTTCACACATCTATAACTTGATGGACTTAGAATATTTCCAGCTTGAGGGACTTAGAATATTCATCGCTGGTTAGAGGATTTTTGTAGATTTCACACATCTATAACTTGATAGACTTAGAATATTCACAACTCATTTGGTGAACTTAGATTATATCTTCAACTTGGTGGACTTAGAATATGCTTCGCTCAGCTGATGAAAAACTATATTAGTGATGAACACTTTTATATATAGATAAATATACAAGTATAATTGCATAAAGGACTTATAATTAGTACCTCTGAAACTGAAACTTAGTATTAGTATCAATTTATGTTGTATTATTTTGAGGCGGATGAAGCCAGAATATATGTTGTTAATTTTATATTAAATATTGTGTCTCTTTATTCATGCGTACATTTAACGTGTACCAAGTATCCTACGAAGTAACCTGGTCTGGTTAATAACGACATCCACACTACCACAAATCAGGCCAGACGTTACAATATGTATTAGAAAACCAGCTATAAAACCGCATCAATGACATACTATAGAATCATTACACGCTATGGTGTAGTCTAAACAAACACTGGATTTGAACGGCTATTTATATTAGAAGGCTACATGAATTTGTATATGGTCGAGTGATACGTACAGGTTCAGTTTCGATTATATATGCAAAGCTTAACCTCTCCACTGTCGCCCTCTGAGCGTGAAGCGGGCTTTGGGTATCACCCTGGGTGATTCGCCTTTTGCCATTGATGATCGTTCCTCTCTCCTCGCGGGAGTTGGAGGAGGATGACACATTCTGAGTGGTTTCTTCTAATCATTAGCAAATACCAATCAAAATCACACGGGCATAAACATATTGGTCGAGACTTGAGATTATGTATGCAGTGTCATTCAAAATTGAAACTTCTGATTGGGTTCGAAGCCGAGGAATTCACGTGAATTCACGTGATTTTTCACGAAGAAGGGGCGGAGTTTAAGCGAGGTTCATCGAGACTTCTTCGTGTCAATCGTGTCATTCAAAATTGAAACTGGGTCCACTTCTGATTGGGTTTGAAGCCGAGTTGTCCGGATATGACCGAGCAAAAGCCGGAATTCACGTGATTTTTCACGAAGAATGGGCGGAGTTTAAGCGAGATTCATCGAGACTTCTTCGTGTCAATCTGTTTATTAATAAAATGATTGTTTATAATCACCCCTTTAATGACTTGGAATTAAATATAAATCATTACAACTTACTTTTCCTGCCCCAAACTAGTAGGAATTCATTGATTTGACATAACGAGGCCTCATCACGCGCTCGTCGCAAGATTTGCGTCTGCGTTGCGCTTGCGAATCGACAATTTTCGCAAGCGCAACTCCCGAGTTGCGTCTTATCACGCGCTCGTCGCAACGCAGATCGCACCTTATAGAGGTAGTTAACCACATGCGATCGCAAAAATGTAGAATTCCAACTAATATATAAATTGGCGAGGAAATCATAGGCCTATTAACAAAATACAATGTCCGTGTCACAGAACTTTTTTGATGCCCATGGACTCACCGGACCTTATTCAAATACTTATCTCGAGTTGAGTTTTACTTTTAAATATAGAAAGTGTAACGATATCACACATAATCACTGATCTTAAAGTTCAATCTTCATGGGATTTATTTCTAAGTATTTTATTCTTGTACATCATTCAGTCATTTCATGAATCTCGCGATCGGGAACACATTAATACTTGAATATCAGTACACATTCTCACCCGAGTGCACCCTGGTCATCACATACTCTAATCCGAGTGCACCCTCGTCAAAGCTTACACACTCTCACCCTAGTGCACTATCGTCAGACACTTTCACCCGAGAGTGCACCCTAGTCAGTACACACTTTCATTCACTCTCATCGTATTTGAGTGTGCTATCACGAGGGTGCCCTGGTTTTTTAGAGTGTACTTACAACGGTGCACTCGTCTGGTGAAACTATTTACTGTCGAGGGTGCACCCGGGTCGCAGGTTAGAGTATGTATGACGTGGTTTCACACGGGTGAGAGAGTGTACTGAAAAGGATGCACTCAGATGAAAGTCTGTACGTTTGGCAACCTTAGCTCCCCCATTGAAGTACGTGTTAATTGATGGAAACGTAGTTTGACTTTATTTCCAAGGCCTCCATATTTTCACCACCGCAATCTATATTTGTTTTGTTGAAGATGTTCTTATAAATACTATCAATATTGTACGACCAAGGCTGAGTTTAAAGATGGTAAAATAGTTGCTCGTAGGCAGGTTACATTTGATACTGATCAGCCAATATCTCAATATCTCTTCCTTCTGTTACGGAAAAATAACGTGCAACAAAGGCCCATAATGTCATTACCAGCTGTTCCAAAATCCTTAACGAGAGTGCCCTGTGCATACTACATTCAGTTCACATGTCGGTCATAAAAAGCAACAGTATCAGTCGTTACTACACTTGAAAACCTGATCGATTGTCACTTGATTTACAACACTGACGGCAAACATCATAAAATCATAAATATCATAAGCAAATTGAGGAAGCTAAATTACTGAGTATTACAGGCACTTTTACTTACATTCTTACATCATGTAAGATGGAATTTCCTTTACGGAGCCAATGGAATTTGCACAAAGTTTGGTGGGAGTTACATAAAGGGGGAACTCAGCTCAGAAGGCCAAATTGTGCGATTGAGCCAGTCGCATTTATACACGCAGTCGTATAGGTTATGTAACGAGATTCTATGCTAGTAAGTATCATTAAATTATAATTTGGTGTGCCACCACCTAGGAGGGGTGACATAATTGTAACAGCCACCGTTTGTTTTAGAACCAGAATTTTGCATCGGGATTCGGCGTTTGCAGTTTTAAGTGGTTACATTTTGGTAATTAATCTTGGTTAATTTTGTTGATGGACTAAGTATAACAAATAATAAAGACCAAGTCAATCAGTCGTTTATTTGCTTTAAACAGTTTTTTGAATTTCAGCCTACCCAAAAATGGCCTTCAATAACCGTGCGTTTGAGGGTGACTCGTATGGTCCATCAGCTTATAAGAACAGTCATTTCCACCAGAATTATCCTCAAAGCGGAGTCGTAGGAGTGCATGATCCAGATTACTTGACAATGGTACCTGCACCTCTACCATACGACAGACAAAATAATGCCGGTACAAAACAATGGGAGAGCAAAATTGGCAAACGAGGAAATAAAGTCGTCGATCATACATACGAAGAAATACCTGCAAATCAAAATCCCGCAATTTACCAGTCACGGTTCAGTGATACGTCATATCGGCGAGAGTCACAAGGTGATCGTCAACGCGGGTATGGTAACATCAGTCAGATGAGACAATTTGAAGTGCCTCCTCCCCCACCTTATCAAACTAAAACCTATGGAGATCCTTCTTTTGTTCAACTTCCTCATTCACCTTCTTCTGCTTCACTGCTCAGTCGTGTTAATCCCCGCTCAAGGAGTTGCAAAATAACAATGGTTGTATTGTTATGCCTTGCTTTATTGGTTGCTGGTGTTATCATTGGTTTGTTTGTTTCTGGCGCTCTGAATCACATGTCAGACAATGAGGAGCATTCCACAACAATGAGGTCTTTAACAACAACGGCGCCTTCCACGGCTTCTTCAGAATTACCGGGGCCTTCTTCATCAGATTCAGGCCTTTCACCATCGACCTCGTCGCCCTCAGTATCAACTGTGACAATGACTACAGAGTCAACAAAAGATTCTTCAACTGAATCACCTCCAGGTTCGGGTGAAGGTGAGAGAGCATTTTCACGCCTATACATATGTATTAATGTTATAATAAGTATATGGCTCAGCAGTTTTCAAAGAACTTCAACATCTTACCCCCTATCACACCAAACTAGTTCTTACCCGTTCTTGCTAGTCCTACGAAAGGAAAACGTGTTTAAACGTCGTAAAACGGGCTCAATCTTGCTGTGGTCGAGAAATATGTCTAAAATAAGTAGCTACCTCGTTCTTAAACAGTCTTCAATACGTCCATCTTATTCGCAGTTCGTTCAGGTCGCACCACGTTGGTGTGCAACGTCGTATAACGCGTCCCTTTGTCTAGAAGTTCATCATGACCTGATGACAGAACGGTATGGTCGCCATCGAATTTTGAATCGATTCATAATTCTAAATCACATTCCCCGTCCAGGAAAGTCCATGAAGTTCGTAAACAGACCGTAGAACGTTGTAGCTAATTTCATTCGCACACAGTTTAAAACCAGTTTTGAAGAACGCAGTGGCAACTTGCATGGTGCAGGTGTGATAGCTATATTTTTGCTAACTCGTTGATAAATACGTTCTTAATCAGTTTTAACCCGTTTGCAATTAGTTCTCAATACGTCCTCAGACAGTTCAACTCGTTGTAAAAACGTCCCTAGTAGGATTGAAGTACGACGGTTCCGTTCGTGGTACGTCCAGCTCGTCGTTAGTAGGTTGTCACTCGTTCTAATTGTAGAACGTGACGACCAAGAGAACATTTTGAGCATGTTCTAAGTTCTAGAGGACCTAGTGAGAACTAGTTTGGTGTGATAGTAAGGGTAAGATAAACCCATTTGTTTTTATTTGACCAATCAGAAAATATAATATGGTTATGAGTCATCTATAGCTATAATAACTAAATTGTAATTTTATGTTCTTATCAATGCACCACTTCAGTTTTGACATGGCACAAAATAAATTAGAAGCAATTTCATTTCGATTATTCAGAAGATTTAGGGCATATGCTTTCAACAATATTTAAACCGTCCGTTTATGACCTAATCCGCGGTAATGAACTTGTTGACATTACCACGGAATATAACTGGTCATTTCAGTAAAAATGGTGTCCTTACCCTGCGGAAATGGAGAAAATGTTCCACAGCTATTTCCGAGCGCGATACAACAGCGCCCAGTTAATTTCTAGCTAGGGAATTGATTTTACTTTCCACAGGTAACAATACTATGTCTGTGAATAGAGTGGTTTTAAAGCCTTAGCGAAGTAACCTCCTTTGTTTACATTTGCCAAAGCATAAAGAAATGAGAAAATCAAAACTTTTTAAAAACTCGATAATCGGAACCGATTTCACTTGTCATTTGTTAAAGTAACTTTCCATGATTTCATCTAAAAATTAAAACCCTTGGAAATACTAAATATGGTTTGAGTGCCATATATAAAATTTATTTTAGAAATATTGTGGAGCAAAATAAAAAAATAAATAAAATGAAGAATAAAAACATATTCCACCCGCGGGATTTGAACCCAGATCTTTTGGAATAAAAGTCTGATTGAGTCCAAAGCCCTAACCACTACACCAAAGAGCCAAAGCTTCCTGGTAGACGAAATTCTTTATCTATATAATCATGGACGAAAAAAGTCTGATTTATATGCTTAAATTTCTTAGAAATGATCAGCATTACTACTTAAAATAACATTTTGCATGTCTGAGTAATTATTTTGATCTACATTTAGGATAAATGTTGTTTTATTCAGTTTTCATTTTGGGTTTGACTTCCTGTCAAAACAGTGTTAAAAATGCAGGGCTCAACAAAAATTTTCAATTAGAAAATGATATATATCCTTTGATCAGCTGTTTTTGGCACCTGAACTCATCCTACTAGAAAGGTAAGAGCATTTTCTTGAGACATATGGCTCAAAATCCCATATTTCTCCTTTTAAGTCTTAGAAAGACACTTTAAGTTGTACACGAACTGTCAATCCAAGACTACGTATTACCACGGAATGGATCATACAAAAGCATATTGAGCTAAGATGATCCATTCCGTGGTAACAAATCACACACAAGGTAAGGTCACCATTTTTACTGAAATGATCAGTTTAATGCCGTGGTAATGTCAACAAGTTCATTACCGCGGGCTAGGTCATTAACGGACGGTGTTTAGGGGGGGGGGGGTCTTTCAAATTGAGAGCATCATTTAATGATACTTATGGCTCCCCCAAGGATGGGCCTAGCCATTTTCAGCCCCAAAAATGTTTGGAGCCACAACTTTTGTAGGGCCTTAATTAGTGGGCTTTTTGTTCATTACTTGACCCTTATTCATTAAATTATGAAAAATTGGGCCTTAAATTTTCAAAATTTGGGCCGAATTTTTGGTCTTAGAGGCCCAAATTTTTTCCGTGCAAGCGCCGACATATTTTATGACTTGAAACATGGGCCCCTTGTTAGCTTCTGGATCTGCTAATGATGGTTATATCCTTTCTTTCCTGTTATCATTTGTAATTTTAGTGTAAAACGATTTACAAGAGGCTGATAACTTTGTCCTAATAAATATCAATTTCCTATAAATCACTAAACATACAATTAACCTGTGTGGGCCAGTGATAAATGAGTTTTACTCATCTTGAAAAAATAATTTATTGGAATCATGCTGACCTATGAACAAATAACAGATAAATTATGACATTTGGGCATTGATCATAAATAACGAAGAATGGTGTAACATCTATAAATTAGACGAGAGTGCTCTCTGGTACCATGACAGTACTGTCAGTGTTAGTGTCATTAATCATTTTAATTTATTTAATCAAACGTCGGCCCTGACTTCAACAAGGCTAAGAAGGAATAGATGAAATGTAATATTTCTTCGAGACAATGATCAGAAAAGGAAATTAATAAACTGAAGGACAAAGTTTCATGTATTATTAACTTTTTCTTAACCTTATCATTTTCTTGGTAGTGAAAATTTATGATTCTTAACATTTTTTGTGTTACAAGAAAAATAGCATGATTTCTTTTAGCTTAAAACATAACTTTTTAAAAGTATTTCTGCTCCTATTTTATACTCATAAAGAAGCCCATGTCACAATTAGTCAATTATTTGGTAATTGCTATACCAATCAGCCTATTAATCACTTTTTTAATTTTTTGACAAAAGTGTCACCTTTTATTGCAATGTTTAAGACAAAAGTATATTCTCAATGAGCCATGGTGATGGATTAATTCATTCTTTAAAAATATGAATGTCCAAATGAACTGAACGGAGTATATAGTTTATCTCTAGACCGGTATGTTATAAGTTAATAACACGGTAAACACTGATCTTAGATCCAGTTATCCTTCAAAGAAATTATTCAAATATGAAATAGAGAATAGACATCCATAAACAATGACCGATAGGACCGAACTGGATAAATGGTTATGTACCCATAAGATTAATTTATTCATTCATTTTTGTCAAGCATTTTGATATACTGTAGTTATATATGGACAATGGACAAACTGGGTACAATGGTCCGACTGCTCTAGTACATGTGGACAAGGAGTACGGAACAGAACAAGAGTGTGTAAAAAGTCCTCCCCTACAGATCTAGATTGCCCCGGGAATAAAGAGGATCTTGGAATGTGCAATCTTGGAAATTGCCCGAGTGAGTGCAAATTATTATCATTTTAAGTCCCTGCAATCTATACGACCCTAATTAGCCTTGGAAACTTATTTTACTTTTTCTTGAAATGCAATATTTTGAATCGCAAGTATTATATCCACTATATAATATATTTGGGACAGAATATTCGCACTGTGTCGTGTTTACGTTGTTACGTATTAAATTTCGTGCAGACTTTGGATTATATTTCTGGATAAGATTTTGTTAAATTCTGGATATAGAAACGATTGAGCCAAATGTTTTACTTTTGGTCAGGGAGATAATAAAATAACAGTAGTATTTTTAGCCATTAAAACATTGGAAAATCAAATTGATTAAGTTGTGGACTTAATTTAGCACCCTTTTGATCTCCTTCCAGAAATAAGATCTCAGAGTAGTTTTCTTTGTAGACTACATTTTCTTGATGCTGAAACAGCTTTTCTTAATCTTACTTTTTGTGTTTTATTCTTCTAACATTCCAGTAATTCTTGATTCTTGCATCTAAATCAAAGATATTCTTACAATCCATGCATTATTAAAAAATTATCGCCAAATAAAAGAATATGGACGTTTTTGACCCACCTTAGATATTCGTGATGTGAGTTTAATTTGCAGAATGACATTATCTAATATTTTTAGATTGTTCCATGGAATGTAGCGGAAGCTTCATCCAAGATGATTGCTTGGCGTGTCACTGTCCATTCAATGACCCCAGAACAATTCGCATTCTAAACACCAAGATGACACCACTAGAGGGAGCCACTATATCGAGACAAGAAGTTGGGTATGATATCCTAGCCACAACGGATAAGAATGGCTCAGCAACTGTAAAAAACGCCTGCATTGGCGATAAGTATGTCATCAAAAAGGAACACTATTTAGATGCTACGGTTGAAATTACATCTGACCTGAATTACGAAGTCGTCATTACAACAAGGGGTATGTATTTTGAGGAAATCGAGACATGTTTAATGTGCATGGTAACAAGTTGACCAATCAATGCCAGCATTTTCCCATTATCAATACATGATCATGTCAAATGTATAAATACGAGGAAGTAGGCTGAAATTAATCTGCAACGCTAACCAGATATACACTTTGGGAATAAATCTGTTAGAATGTCCGCGATTGCATTTCAATTGGAAAATAGATGATGATTAAAGAAAGTTCAAAGAGAAAATGTTCCTGCATTTCATAAAATAACGCTTGGATTCCCGGGCTTGGATTACATTCACCTAATAATAACATGATATGTAATAGGTCTGAAGTTAACTTCTAATCTGATTGCTCTTCAAATATCATAAATATAAATACATACGAGGTCTATACACTACTTTTCAAAAAGTCAAACATTGATCATACTTGAGTCAAGAGGAAAACAACAAACACGTGTTGAGACAAATCCATGCCAATACTAAAGAGCAGAGTCATAAAATTAATTAATGTCTCCTTCTTCCACACAGATTAGTGCCCATTAGTGTAACTAAGATTGAAGATTGTGTGGAGAACTGAAGAGTCAGTTAAACAAAATATATTGCTCTTTAAGACGGTCATCCAAAGTCATATGAATGCAGTCACAAATAAATAATTTACCGCTCATATGAATTCTTCAACTTATTTAGTACACCGCATAAAAATATTGGATCACTTTATTTTTCTATTATTTTGCACGTCTAATGTGCTTTTAATGTATCCATTCTCACTGAATTGAAAAAATTCCATCCATTTTTTATAAAATATAGGATGCATATTATATTCTGCTATTCTGGAATGCGATATTTCATGCCTACCTATGTGTGAATACAACTCTATTTCCAGCGCGTGTAAACATGAAGCTTCACCCTCAGGATGCGGTTGCTTTGTTGGGTGATGATTTGACTCTGTCCTGTTTTGCCTCCGGTACAACACCCTCCGATACATATCAATGGTAAGAATGATGGTACTAACATACAACCTCATTAAAGGGCCCTGTTTAGGGTGAAACACCTTAAAGGCAGAATCTGATCTATAGGGGGTGACAAAATTACAAGCAACATGTATAATTGACCTACCAATCTATTCCTTCCAATATCAAATACAATATCTCCCAAAAGATTCACAATATGTTATAAATTGGTGATTAGAAGTTATCTATGATTCAAAGTGCAAAAATGAGTGAAAATGTTTAAATTCTCCCAAATAATAAGAATGGTAACCATTCTTATAGGAAAATAATACATTATTGTAAAATTCTTTAGTTTTCTTGGAATAAAGTATGCACTTTTGTGATTTTTAGAAAATAGACATGACAATGAAAGACATGGGCCAAAAATATTCTAAAATTGAAACAATTTTTTATTTAGCCTGCTCGCTATATCTGATTCTCTCTTTAACATATAAACACTTTTATAATATAAAGTGTATAAATGTTCCAACAACAATAATTATATCAGAATCTCTTAGTGTGAATACCTTTCAAACGAAGATGATTAAATCTTCCAGGCTAAGAAATGGTGTCCTATTGGCCAAAAAGTCAAACAACAGCACATTAGTTTTGAGGAATGTCGGAAAACAAGATGCTGGACAGTATAGTTGCATGGTTGAGTCAGCCTTCAGTGTAGCTATGTCTAGACCTGCTCTTGTTAGAGTGAAAGGTATGCAAAACCTTTTTGTTTTACAATAAAATTCGTAGCCTAATTGTTGTAACGATTACACAAGATTGCAATGTCATCTGATTGATCCTTTTAAGTGGCAGCGACTGATAGATGCTACTATATTTTCAAATTGCACTTGGCCTTGAATGCTAACAGTAATCTGATTCATGCATATGGGAATAATGCAATTCGATTATCATAGAGAAACGTTTGCATTGCAGAAAATGGTTATGATTTCTGTGACCACCAGCCCAAAGAACACATCAAACTGTTGCCAAACGATTGCCCACAGGATGGATCACACAAATACAATGTGGGTCAATGTGGAGGTAACTCTTGTGCGGGAGAAAAGACAGAAAGTGACGCATCTTATTGTTGTGGACCAATTAAGCAAGACTCGAGGCAGATATCATGCAATGGTTATAGCTTGGACATAAGTGTCGTTCTTGAGTGTGGTTGTATTGTTTGTAACCAAGTTAACACTTCAAATGGGTTGATTACTGAGCGAAAAGAAGTCACATTTTCGGGAAGGGTGTTTGATATGTCTAACCCCACTGTTCCTTTCAGAGTTGGTGAGGTTCATTTTTATGATGAAAAAGTGACCTCATCATTTTTTGGTTATTTCCAGATTAAAATCCCAAGTGGTACAAATCGTATTGTTTTAAATTTTAAGAACGACCTCGAACACCGTTTCCTCGAAGGAACAAAAGTTTTCAACATTCCTTCCGATTTTGCTGGTACGTTGTACAAAGAGATTCCATTGATGACGAAATCAAAAGCAACAGTGCTGAATTTATCAGCTAAAGAGGAAAACAGAATTCCATTGGCCAACTCATCAGTGGAAAATCGTCCATTGGCCGAAGTCTTAATTGCTCCAAATACCTTCTACACAGACACAGGTGATGCATACCATGGGAATGTTACAGCTAGTGTACTCTTCATTGATCCAAGAGACTCAACCAGTTTTGAAAACATAGTTGGTGATTTAACTTACATTGACAATAATGGTAATGTCGGTGCTCTACAAACATTTGGAATGCTTAATCTTGATTTCAAAGATGACAAGGGAAACCCATTAGGTATACAAGGGGAAGTCCATATGGCTATTGATGCTAACTTTATCGGCGCACAACATGGAGACACTAGTGTGAAACTTTGGTCAATGAATCCGACATCTGGGAGATGGGAGTTTGAGAGCAATATGATAAGAGGAACAAAGGCTGACCCCCATAAACGTGACCAAGCGAACTATGACAGCACATTTTTCATTGGGAATGTCGTCATCACTGATCGCTATTGGTTCAACTTTGATGATGATCAACTGAATTACTGTTTTGTCAAGATAAAGACATTTAGTGACGCAACATTGAGTATGGAGCTTCCATGGAGTGTCGATAACGAGGCTACTGTTATCGCCATAGACCCGACTAAGACTGGACAATGGGCTCAGGTAACAACGGGAAGTATGTCATATGACTCCAATACAGATATTTCAAGCAGGGACGATTGTATCATGACCATATGTGGCAACGGCAGCTTTACTGGCTATGTGATGGTGAATCACCCAGATGGTCCATTCAACGCATCAACTGATATTGGTGGCAAGACTCCGCCGAACACGGTTGTCGAGATCACCACAACTAGTCTTGGAAACGATACAAACCAAGTGAACTATGACCGTGTGATCAACACAACTGTGAAACCACTAACAGATAATTATGGACCAATTTACCATTTTCAGGATGGTTATTGTAGAGATCAAAATTCGTTTTTTTGTAAAAGCTGCTTTGATGATGATTGGGTTATACCTGACTGCCAGCCATGCGATTCTTGGTATTGTTCGTACCCAGCTTCAAAGGCTTTCCACTACTGTGCTGCAAATGTTTTACCTTCATACTATGTTTTTCATCAAGAACTGGCCAACTATGAGTATACTGTTTGCGAGGAGATTCTTCAGTGCATTACTACCCCAGAGTTCGTCTGGTACCCTAAACATGAGGCAAAAATATGGGCATGGTACATAAAGATAAAAGTCGAATATGAATTTGAGTCTGTTGTGCGAGCAGTTAGCGAGGGAGGAAAACATATAAAGACACAAGGTCACATATATGGTATACGTGAAGCCACTACCAGGGAGAAAACTACATGCTTGGAGTTCAAAGGTAGTGGTGACATATATGTCACTTCTCACGATAAAGAGGATGAAACACTTGTCAGTATTGATGTACAGGGAACTGATTGCCAGATTGAAAGCATTCTTCCTGATCTTCAAACCTACCAGGTGACTCCATCATCCGGTATATTTGGATTCCAACTTCCAAGTCGTTATACAAGTAGCGGGGATTCAACAGGAATTTATTTCAGTTCTCACGACTATATTGATAACGCATCAAGGGAAGCAAAGGCCAGATGTGAATGTGGAGACATTCAACTTGGGTCGCCTATCTGCTCCGAATATAATCCCAATGCAGGCGTTGGACTGACAGTTAGGTGTATGGCCATCCCGTAATAGATGTTCCCAATTTGGCCATGGAAAAATTTCATAATCCTAAGTAAAATGAGATGGACAACAAATAAGAATATAAACTGAAGCTTGTAAACTGACAAATGCTTTCCACTAATCTTATATCTTAAAGTATTTTCCTCATTAAAAGTGATTTTTAAATGTAATTGAATTTTGTCATTATACTGCTACTTCAAGTGTAAATGAACAATATGTTTTTTACATCTTTGGCTTTTACGCTTTATGTATCATCAATATGGTGTGTATATCCAAGTTTGTTTTACAACAGCATATTTGCTATTTTTTGCTTTCTTATACTAACACCACGACAGAGTTCATGGTTGCCCTACCGTGAACAGATTGATATACGAATCGTTAAAGGTAGAATCTGATCTATAGGGGGTAATAAAATTACAAGCAACTTGTATAATTGACCTACCAATCTATTCCTTACAACATCAAATACAATATCTCCCAAAAGAATCACAATATGTTCTAAATTATTGGTGAAGTTATTAATGATTCAAAGTGCAAAAATGGGTGAAAAATGTTTAAATTCTCCCAAATAATAAGAATGGTAACCATTCTTATAGAAAAATAATACATAATTGTAAAAATCTTTAGTTTTCCTGGAATAAAGTATGCACTTTTGTGATTTTTAGAAAATAGACATGACAAGGAATGACATGAGCCCAAAATATTCTAAAATTGAAACAATTTTTTGTTTAGCCTGCTCGCTATATCTGATTCTCTCTTTAAACTTGTTCAGAAATAAATATTTTACAATGTATCGAGTATGATCTCCTTGAAACAATGTTGAGTTCTTTGTATAAAGAGAGGAATGGCAATACATTTGAATTATACATGTTTTCATGTGTATCGCTAGCTGTGTCCAATTCGAAACCAATGTCGTTGGCAATTATTGTTTAACGAATCGGAATGTCCTGCACCGTACCAATTATTTCAAATCTTTTATGGAGACAATTTGCCACCGAAAAGCAGACTATTGAGTGCAGATAAAGGAAATCTGTGAAAACCTCATTTTTCAAAATTAGCACTTGGAACATTATTGTTCTGAAAGGACGAAGTGCAAAACGCAAAATTCTTGTTTTAACGGTTGTTATAACATCATGTCTTTGTGTTATCACAGTCATGGGCCAATGACTGTGATTTTTGAGCCAATCTCCGGGATTTCGTTCGTGGTGCTGAGGAGAAGGAGACTAAGAGGAAAGAAGAAATATTTTCTCCAGCGGAAGAGTGGAGAAGCTGGGCTTTAAGTACAAGCTATAATGATGTTTTGTTCTTTTAGATTGAAAAGGGATGTCCCTGCACTTCAAGCTCTTGACATTAAAAATTGACAAATGCTTCATTGATAATTGTATTGGGAATAGGGAGTTTAAAATACTAAAACCATTGAAATATTGATCTTAAATTGTGACAACATGATCCAACATGATGTTCAGTATCAGTGACTGTGTTCAATGTAAAATGCTGAGTGCTTCGTAAAGATGGCAGCACAAAGTTCGGTTGTTCCCAACTTCTTGAATTCCTCCAATTTGGCAATTATCAGCAAGATTTCAATTTCAGAATATGTTATTTGAGAAGCCATGAACGAGCAACTAATTGTGATCTATGACCATATAACCACCCCAACACTGAAGCCAACAAGGGGGAACACATTTCAAGTCAGCTGAAAAAGGCCAAATAATGCCCAAAAAGGTCCACTAGTTGAGGGCATACAAAGATTTTTCTAGGGATGACTCATGGGGTCCCATGCACCCCGCCCCTCCCTGGATCCTCAAGGGACCAATCACAATCCACATTGATATTCCATATCGGGAAGGAACAGTCAGATAATATGCTGTATTGAACTTTGAGTAGGACATTTATTGTCGATCATTGCAATTTTAATATCCTTTTACTTGACAGAAATGCGATGCGTACTGCAAAAATAGCGTATTATCGAGTAAGAGAATAGGATAATAATTCAAATTACTACTCTTATTACTAATTCCTACTTCCATAATACAATTTAGATTCTTTATTTCACGTACATAGCCAAACTCTTGACCATGTCACTCGGTGCAGGAAGTGTATCTCCTCCGGAAGAGATCATTTTTATGGCATTAAGGGATGAAATTGAATATCGCGGTTAACACCAAAATTCATCCGATGTTTGATAAAAGACTGAGTGTTAAGTGGTTATATGCCGCAATTTTCAATTAATAAATTAATCAATAAATAAATTAATAATAGTTGATGTCAATTTTATAAGTCTCATCAAAATCGGGAGTCAAACTGTGACGATATTTTGTATTTATCAGCTTATTAAGAAAATGTTCATATTTGCTAACAAATAGTTCAGAAGACAACAGGATCGTCGATTTAATTCCTCACTTAAGTTACACAAACGGTATTTCGAAAAACAGTTAAGATCTGCACTTTTAACCCATGCCGTTTATGTAACTTGAGTGAGGAATTAAATCGACGAATCTGTTGTCTTCTGAGCTATTTTTTCGCAAACATGTACATTCTTTAAAACATATGATACTACGACACGTTTGTGAGAAAAAATGTGGGGATTCTGCCTACAACGCGTGAAATAAGGACAAAAGAAAATTCGTACTTTCGACGTTCCGACATTTTGTTACCAAAACGAACCGTTTTGGTAACCAGCGTAATCGAGCGGATCACCAGTGATAGTCAGATAGAAGTGATGATATCAACAATGATTGAAAATAATGGTGATTCGAGTGAAAGCATGAATTCAATGTTTTAAAGAACTTCTCGGAACACAGACGTTGACGTATAGTGCTGCGGGAATTATATCATATTATATTATATCCCGACGCCAGGAGTATATGATAAATTAACAGGAATATTTGTGATATACGTCATGTTATTATATTATCATTCGAAAGCTTTCTCACTGCCCCATCGGGTTTTACTCAAGGTATAATCGGAATACTCAGGCGGTAGCATCGGGGTCTATAGAATCGTACTCGTGGTATAATCGGGTCTTTCATTATCAACTTTCACCGGTGATTTTAATGATATGCAACGTATAGCAGTGAAACAAATGTGATATATTTGCACCTTTGTATCTTTGAATCAAATGGAGTAAATACAGCCATGGTTTTTACTTATTTAAGATGTAAAACATCATTCAAATATTTAGTTGAATTTAGCGATTTGATAGTAAATATTGCATTAAGTACTCATTATTCTACAAACATGAGTGCCTGTAACAACAACTATATCGGTTACAAACAATTCTATGTTTTATCTATATCTCATATTATAAATTCAATATATAAACAGGAGTTTATTAACTTATCCCCTACAATTTCAGACATCTTCGGGTCTTTGCTAGTTGATAGGTTGTATATAGGCGTGTGTATCTCATACTTGAGTGGGTTTGGGGTAGATATCACCCGGGAATATATATCGTATCTGAGGAGCGGGCAGGATATATTGTATATGTCCCGCTCCAGGCCAAATGCGGGCAGATATAATATATCCATCCCGCTCCCGGCATTTTTTCAAAAGTTTAAAAAAGTTCAAAAGTTTTGATTTTTTAATTTTAAAATTTAATTTTTTAAAGTTTAAATGTTACAATTTCATTGTATTGAACAAAAAGAATATTACGAAAATGTTAAATATAAATATCTTGTCATTTGAAAAAGGTGGAAAAGGTTATATCTACCCTAAACCCACTCAAGTATGAGATACACCAGTTATGCACGGTCGGTTTGGATACATGGAATATCCCTTGGGATATACAATACATCTTCCCTCGGTCCCTTCGGTCCCTCGGGAAGATATATAGTATATCCCTCGGGATATTCCCTTTATCCAAAACCTCCCAGTGCATAACCCCTATATATTCACCTCTTGATAATATGTGATGAAAACAAAGTGGAGAACGAAACATATTTTTATTCCACCGTACTAGATATGATGATATTAAAAAACACTTTCAGAATCCTGACCTAAATAATTTAGAGGAAAGTGATAAAATGAAACTTCTTTTCAATGAACACACTTAAAGAAGGCAACATATTTATAATCAATGACTTTCTCTTATACACACTGTTAGAATATATTTAGCACTACTGCTGAAATAAATTTTATAATTTGTAAAAAGTGGTTGATAAGCCCAAGATGGGCTGGGTAAATTATTGCATTGTAATGTATAATTGATATATGTAAGACCTACCACCATAATATGAAATTATCTAAACTTAAAGGTGCAACAATTAGTGCAGAGGAGCCATTCAATGATCACGGACCAGTGTCAAAAAATGTCTAGGTTTGGATATTTCATCAAGACTTACATCTATTTTTATTATCTACAAAGAAACCCCCTAGATAAACATTATTTCAGCTGATATTCCTCTTGAAACATGATGGATCTTAAAAATGAAAAAGCGGATTTCCCCTTTTTCAAGCTTTGAACTGAATTTACACTTCTTAATGCTGAAATTGATAGGTTATCCATACATTTTAAGAAAATAGGTATGTCAAAGAAGATGTTAAGCCAAATGTTGCCTTGATAGCTCAGAAAAAGTTAAAATTTTCCTTTTTTCTCTCTACAGGCCTTGTTGCCCCTTTAACTAACTGATGTGGCATTACATTGTAAAATTTGCACGTTGTCTGGAATGAATTAATATGTTTAAATAAAGCTGGTTTGTCAATTATTGAGTTTACGAATTTTTTTTACTGTGTATGTTGTTTTTCGGCCGTGTTGCTAATGGCATGCTAATTAGTTATAGAATACGAGGATGATCAATAGGTCAAAAAGGCGTACATTACTTATTGATCAACCCTCGTATATAGTATAAATTAATGCAATTAAACTTTTCAGAGTGAATTGTCGCCAGTAGTATCATTCATACTATTAGCTTCATTCTGTCAGCTCCTTGACTTGCTGCTACGGTACGTCCTTGTTTTTTCAAGTTTGATAGAGACAACCAATACTATTATCAAATTAAACCTTGTCCTTACGTCTACTTATATGATGAAAAAGGACCGGACTTTATCACATTATGAGAATTTAGCAATTCGAAATACAAGATGTTACACTTAATATAAGTAACACTGTCTCTAAGTAATCACACTTCTCTTGACAACTGCGTGAGAGAAATTGCCTCCTTAATTGACTTATTCTGTTTCAATTGAAAAAAGACAATTTGCGTTATCCTTCACTTACTAAGAATCCATTTCAATTGTTCAACTTGCGTCTTAGAAAGAGAGTTTTTGCATTCTTTGATTTTGCCGTACCCTTTACCCTACAGTAAGATTTAATC